ATATATATATATATATATATATACATATACCTTGATATATACTAGTATAGTATGTATGAGGGTTTTTTTTAATTATTTGACCAGTCATATATAGGCTGTCGCTAACCATTGTACTTTTATAGTGGGAGATGTGGCTGATGAGGTGGCAACAAGGCGTAGACGTGATGAGGTGGCAACAAGGCGTAGACGTAACGGAAGGACAAGCGGAACTGATAGTACAAACGATAAACATGACGGCCGGCCGATGGGTGTCCAACGAACTCTTAGCCCATCCTCAATACAGACTCCTCTCATCCGTCATTAATAACATCTGTCACGAAATATCCCACGTAAATGCAAGTTGCCACATTTCAAGCATGTTTCTAATTCGATCGTGTTGAAATTTCTTGACATAACATAATAAATTTTTCTCAATCATTTTCAGAATCGAACCTGTATGCAAGTCAACAGTACAACTATAAATTCGATAGATTCCAAAATGCAAGAACTCGTGCAACTCGTGCTTAGCGACTCACCGGATGATCTTGATCAGGATTTGAAGCAGACGTTCCTCACCGTTGCAAAAACCTTCTACTACAAGGCGTACTGCGATCCTGAGACAATTAATGTTCATATTTCCAAAGTAATGTTCGAAACGATAATATGAAAAGACTGATATATATATTATATATACCCCATTATTCTTACATAGCATAGCATGTTGCCATGTTCAGAAAGAATAGTCAATGAAAATGGTATCTGAAATTTTCTGACTTTTAAGATATTATCACGAAAACGAGAGGCGTGAAAATCGTATAAAAAAGGATAATGTTTAACTATTTTAGAATGTCTTGTAGTCAAAAATAGAAGTAACTTTTAGTTGAAGAAAGAAAAAAGGCATATAAGTTGATGAGCAGTACTAAACATCTACCTATCTATCATCAAAGTTAGTGGGTGTATGCATGGGTGGCATTATGGTCGATGGATTGGGGGGCATTTGTCTTTTTTGAACACATGCATCAAAAGCTTCTTTTAATCAAAGTGGTAGACGATCACATCAAGTTAAATCAAACACTATATGGTATTGACGAGTGCTAAAATGTACCGATCCCAAGTTTAGATTGAAAGCAAATTTAAAACTGCATATCAAATAAAAATAAAGGGTCTTTGTGCAAAGTGGCGGATCCAGAACTTCCATGTAGTGGGGACCATTTTATATAAAAATTAGTTAATACATAAATAATAATAAGGGATATATACATTAAAGTCCTAATATTTTCATCGATTTGACAAGAAAGTCATAAACTTTATTTTTTTGACAGTAAAGTGCAAATTACCGGCAATTTTTGACACTTTTACTTTTTTTTCCCGGTTAGCCGGTAATTAGGACTTTTTTGTCAAAAAAAATAAAGTTTAGAACTTTCTTGTTAAATCGTCAATTAGGACTTTACTGTCAAAAAAATAAAGTTAAGGACTTTCTTGTCAAATCGTTGAAAATATTGGGATTTTAGTGTATATATCATTTTTTTTGTTAGAAATTCAATGGTAAGATACTATTTAAGCGTAAGAATTATTAAAACATTTTCTAGTCAGCTAGATACTATTGAAATCCTTAACGTTTGCTTCTTGTTAAATAGTTTTTTTAATCTCAACAAACCGACATTGAAAAAAATGGAGATAATCAAGAAAGAAAGAAAGAACCAGGGTTGTGTTAGCTTTTTGTAGTCCCAAAAATGGAGAAATAAGAAACCGAAAAAAATGAAATTTCCCTTCTTTCCCTTCTCAACATTCACACCCTTTTGACTAGGTATGTGTTGTTTGTGTTTGTATAATTTGTTCCCACTTTTTAGTTCAAGATTTGGCGGCGAAACAAGAAGAAACTTTTATAAGGGTGATATGTACACTAAAGTCTCAATATTTTCAATGATTTGACAAGAAAAACATAAAGTTTATTTTTTTGACAGTAAAGTCCTAATTGACGATTTGACAAGAAAGTCCTAAACTTTATTTTTTTGACAAAAAAGCCCTAATAACCGGCTAACCGGGAAAAAAGGGTAAAAGTGTCAAAAATTGCCGGTAATTTGGACTTTAAAATCACATAAATATCATCAACACATATTACAAAATCTCAATATTTCAATTATCAAAAACATGGGTTCATAACTATTTAAATAAAATCCAGGATCCTCAAACACAACTCCATCTCGTGTGTATAATCAAGCCGTCGCCTTCCCGTGATCCTGAGAAGTACCTGAAACACATAACATATAACACAGTAACCACGAAACTTAGTGAGTTCCCCAAAATACCACATATAACACATATTAGCCACTCGAGGCTATAACTCTGTGGGCCCACTGGCCCTAACTCTGTGGACCCTCTGGTCCTAACTCTGTGGACCTTCCGGTCCTAACTCTGTAAACTCTGAAATACACACAGCATAAATCACATAGAAATAATACAGTGCAACACATCACATACATAGCATACAAGATACTATATCACATAACTCTACTTATCACTCAAGGTAAAGTATAGTGAGAAAACTCACCTCGGGTGGCGAACAGATCCTATAAATGCTGCTGCTACACTCCGGCTTCTATCACTAAGCCAAACCCACAAATAACCCCATTAGGATCTAAGATCATCCTTCACATTATTAGGTCTAAACATGGTCCACCAACCTCGTCCATAAATAACTCAAGTCCATTGGGCCCA